ACCCAGCGTGTTTAGAGGGTTAGAGGGGACACCAACCACCATTAAAAATTCATTTTTTTAAACCAAAAGTATTTTTTTAATAGTATTCGTAATTTTTATACCCAAGAAACTTTTACAATTTGCTCCCAGACCACCACCTAATGTGAGAGGTGTATTTTTAGGTGTATATTGATGATTTAACACAGCCTATTATCAATAATGACTTATTCTTATAAGTTTATTTATTTTTAAAAATTCACATCTTTGTAACACTTTAATAACAAGTCCCGCATGAGTCGTCACAAAAAAACTGAAGCCCTCGCCAACCCCCCCCCCCCCCCCCCCGCTTCATATATAAAACAAAAACAAAAACAAAAAAATAACACAATGTAAAGAAAAAAAATAAATTTAGAAATCAATAATTGAATATATTGTGAAAAGACTTGTTAAGATAGATTATGTTGCTTCAAGAAACTGATAAAAGTCTGATCATCGAGAACCTTGGGACGATACGCAAAATACACATAAACATTGTGATTTATATGCACAAATATTTAAATATTATGGAGTTAAAAATTTGTTTAGCATTTTCTAATTATATTATGATTTTTTTGTGTGCTTTTATTATTATTTTTATTATTAATATTATTATTTTGTAAATTTAATTTTTTTTTTTAATAAATCTGCAGAATATTTTTTCACTCAAAAAATATTCTGCAGATCAGAACACTCCAACTGATAATCTAAATGAGTTTTGGAAGCGTAACATCCTGATTCCTTATTTGGATTACATTATATTGGACCTACAATTAATATTTAGTGAACAATCTTGTCAAGCTATTAAACTATTGTATGTCGTGTGTGAAAAATATCAAGCTTCAATATGTGACATAATTTAAAGTCTTTAAAGATGTTATCAAAATCTATAGTAATGATCTACCTCTGCCAGAATTGCTCTTAAACTAGCTCTTCCAAATGTACATACACTCTTATTGCATTGGATGTACATTTCCAGTAACGTCTTGTGAATGTGAGAGATGTGCATCTGCGCTTCATAGATTGTCAAGTTATATCATAGCATCCATGAAGGACGAGCGGTTAAAAGCACTTACACTAATGCATGTGGATCGAGATAAGGTCGAATGAATTAGACAAAACAGAAATCAGAGAAAAATTACTTGGGAAGTATATATATGTATATATATATATATATATATATATATATATATATATATATATTATACATATATATATATATATATATATATATATATATATATATATATATATATATATATATATATATATATATATATATATATTGTATATATATATATTGTATATATATATATATATATATATATATATATATATATATATATATATATATATATATATATATATATATATATATATATATATATATATATATATATAAACGGGATTAAGGAGATACAGGCCCGTAGCAACCGAGTGGGCAGCAGAAGCATCCCCCCCCCCCAATAATTTTTCAAATAAATAATTTTGAAGAAATTGACTGAAAAAATGACTTAAAAAAAAAAAAAAGTCTTTAAAACTTTTTCAGGGTACTTACTTTTACGATTTGTAAAGTAAACTAAAAGTAATAAATATAGTAAGTAAACTTACTTATGTTCTACAATAACTTTGACATGATCTTTTACAACAGTAATTCAAAAAGTCTAGTGGCTAATCTATGGCAGTGAGACCCTTTCTGAGTCTCCCATGGGAGACTCAGAAAGGGTAGACTACTTGAATGGCATAATTGGCATAATTGTTAATTTCTTTTTACAGGTTTTTTGCATAAAAGCTTTTATTATTGAAAAATTTTTGCTGTCCCTCAAGCAACTAGACCCAGGGTCGCGAGGTTTAGGAGCCTCAATATGTATTTAAAGAGTTTTTTGTGGTTGTTTTTTTTTTAGTAAAAGTTATTGTTCTAGAGAAACAGAAAGTAGGCACCTGGACCAGTATGCCTACAGGCCAAAAAATTTTTCTACGCCACTGTGTAATAGAAGTATAACCGAGCAGTAGCTAAGCAATGATTTATGCGTAGATTAAGAAATAAACCTTGTAGTTACGGGAACCTGGAAAAAAAACAACCCTAAAGCATTTAGCATCCCTACCATAAATGTGAGGGCAACAAACTGGTAACTTTTATTTTATATTTTCTTTCACTAAACTTAAGTCGGCAAGTTTTAAAATTCAAAATTCAAAGGTTATGATTATATATAGTTTACACCCAAACCAAATAATGTGGTTGTTTCTACATTTTTCTAAACATTCAAATGTGATATAAATACGAACATACTTAAGATTGGCAGTTAAAAAAGTTTTATTTACCAAAAGTATATATATTAACCAAAATCATTGGTTTTTCATAATTATATTAACATTACATCTCAAAATTTACGCAAGTAATCATCATTATATTATTAGTTACAATAAAGTCTTTAAATGAGTTAAATATTTTTTTTTAACAACGCATTAAAAGACCTCATTGGAGTTTGCTCCGTGTCGTTACATTAAGTTAAATTCTCAATTAAAAACAAAAAGCTTGCTACGGGCCTGATTTTAAATATGTGATTGGAATCTGGTTGTTTATATATTGTGATATTTTAACTTTTATACTTTAAATTTTTGAAAATTTCAAGTAAAAAAGTGACAAAAATTTAACAAAAAAAAAGGGACTTGATGTTAATTCATCTATATGATGAAAAAACAATTTCTGTAAAAAAAAACAAATTACTTTTAAATGTTAGTAAATTAATGTATTTTTATATGAGTTTTGTAAAGGAATTTACGCTTAAAAGTAATTCGTGTTTTTACATCAAAATAAGTGAAAATACCATCCCTAGATTTGATATATTCTTACATTACAAAATATATTTTGTAATTTTTAAAGTTTTTTAGAAACTGAAATAAAATTTAAGTGTATTATTTAGATATGTGTAAAAGTGCGTTTTACGGAATCAATTTCTTCAATCGGATTCCGTGGCAAATTTGCTTAGTGTTCGTAGGTGTAGTCTTATTTTTGAGAGCTTTTTATAAACATAGATTTTTTAAAAAAAGTAGAATTATTGAACTTTATTGTTGTGTGTGTGTGTTTTTTTTTTGTTCACATTTTTGAGTTTGTTTTGAGTTTGTTTGTTTTGAAAACTTTGTTAGTTTTTTCTTGCTTTCTCAAACCATAAAAATAACATTTACTTTTTTCATGATGTTTAGAAGGAAATTTAACCACGTTTTATTTTGTTTTAACTTTTTTCTTCACTTGTGTTGAAATTAGAAGCTTAAAAAGATGATAAGGAAGAATCATAATAAAGAGCATAAGCACACTTATTCAAAAAGTTTTTGAACATCGGTTTAGAGGTAGAGGTAGAATAAAAGTGTTTTTTTGTAACCCGGGGTGTTGTTGAAAATTAAACTGAGTGGTCGTAAAAAAAATTGATTTATTTTACAAAAGCAAAGTGATTTTTAAATAAAGTTTATACCATTTGTATTCTTTATAAACTTACTTTTAAATTAGGTAATAATAAAAAAAAATAAAAAATTTCCTCAATTTTGAGAAACTTTCCCCTTAAATTAAAGTTCAAATTTAAAATTAAAAAGTTTTACAAAAATTACGTAAAAATCAGAATTCTTTAAAAAAGTAAAAAAGAAATTGACAGGTTTTTAAAAATTTCAATAAAGTACTACAAAAAAATTACAAAACATAAGAAACCGGGGCTAGTTGGCAGCAGGGGTAAGTTGACGTACTGCGTTTATCTCCAGCGGCTTTCATCAGAAAGTGACAAAAATTACATGGTACGAAATAAAAAATTATTGTAAAAATTCCAGTCACAATTTGTTTACTAATTCTACTCAGATTTTTTTTTAATAGTTGCCGTATTTCAGGATCTATAGACTATTTATAAAAAACAAAAAGGCTTTTGGGGGTAAGTTGGCAAAATTTTCGCGGAGTAAGTTGGCTCATAGCAAATTTTATTTTTTACAAAAAAAAAATGTTTATCTGATTAAAAAAAGGTATTTTTTTAATGATAAAAAGTAGGCCACTGTTTTGGCTGTTATACGAACTAATATAATTTTGTGTAAATATTACTTTTAGTTGATACCAACCAGGTAAAAGTGACATTTCAATTTTTGGCTTAAAATTGTTGTAAAAATAGTAAAAAAAATTCTATAAATTTTGTACTTTATGGTACAATTGTAATCATTTTTATAGTTTGCGCCAACTTACCCCAGGGTAAGTTGTAAGTTATTGTAAGTTGTAAGTTGTTGTAGGTTGTTTTAAGTTGTTGTAAATTGTAACTTACAACAACTTACAACAACCTACAACAATTGTAGTAGATGGCGCAGTTCAAGTAGAGCAGCCGTGGCGCAGTGATAGCGCACTTTCCTCAGAAACGTAAGATCCGTTGTTCCAACCCCACCTCTGGGTAAGTTTTGCGACATCGGTTGGGAAGGAGGCGTGAACTACCTATTAAATGCTCTTCCGCGGTGCTTTGTGATAAGACCGCAAGGACTTCTTGGGGCGCCTTAAAAATTAAAAAAAAAAAAATAAATTGGCGCAACTAGCAACTAGCCCAGGTCCTCCCTACTAAAAAAATTACTCAAGATTTCACATTTTGTTTCTTTTTGCTTCAAAAAATTACGACCTGAGATATCCATGCTTAGTTTCAATAATGAAAAAAAGATCAATGATTTTGTGCTAATAAAGTTTGTCTATTTTGCTTAACGTTAAAAAGATTTTGGTACAATCCCTCTTGTATAACTCATGTAACAGGTCAAGGTTATAGAGTTAAAAATGTTTCGATTTACAAGAAGAATTTAACGCAGAACTCACTTAAAAATTTAGCACTCCTTGCGCAAACATGTTTAGTGAAAATGTTTTTCGGCATGATATTTGTACTTAGATTTTTTTTATCTCAAACCAAAAATTGTCTTAAAACTAATGTCTGGCCATGCGAGTTATACAGCAAACAAGATTATATTGTTTGTTTATTTTTGTGAACGAACCAAGTTGAACAAGGCTGTAAAAATAAATGCTCTAAATTAAAATTAAAATTTTCTTCATGCTTGATCTGCATAAAGGAAATTTAAATTTAAAATATGAGAAATTTCCAATTTTAAAATTTGAAAAATGTTTTTTAACTTATATAAAAGTGCAAAGAATTGTAGCAAAAGAACCAGATTAAATGTGGTATATATGTTATATGTAACCAACCTATATGAAAAAATATGATTTGTTTTGTCTTTTTTTTATACTTTAACATTTTCATCAACGTTTCGCTGATAAAAAGTGAACGTCAAAAACTACTTCTTGTTTCTCTCGACGGTTTTCGTTGGGATTTTCAGAAAAAAGGATACACGCCAAACCTTGATTGGATAGTAAAACACGGGGTCACAGTTGATTATGTAGTTAACGTATTTCCGACAATAACGTATCCGAACCATCAAACAATAGTTACAGGACTCTACCCAGAGCATCATGGGATTATTGGAAATGCTATGTTTAATAAGAAAACGGGAAAATCATTTGACATGCTTGGCGAAGAAACATGGAATCAGTCAACTCCAATATGGATAGAGAATCAGCTGAATGGCTTTGAAAGCGGATTATGCTATTGGCCAGGTCATAACGTATTGTTCAACGGTATGAAGGCTAATTATACTGCAGATGATAAATATGCTGATCCTTATACTTCTCCCCAAAAAAATAAAATTATGCCTTTGGAAAAGAGAATCTCTCTTGTTATTGATTGGCTCAAAAAACCTAATGTAACATTTGTTGGTTTTTATTACGAGGAACCTGATGAGACAGTTCATAGAATTGGTGTAGACGTTGAAACTAAAAAGGAGCTTGGCAATATAATATTCAAAACAGACAAAATGATTGGTGAATTGATAAAGGAAATTAATAAGGAAAACATCAACGTTAATTTAATTATAGTAGGTATGTCACATTTTTTGTTTTATACATTTATTAAGAATAAAGAATAATTATTATTATTTATTAAGAATTAAGAATTAAGAATAATTATTATTTATTAAGAATTAAGAATAAAGAATAATTATTATTATTTATTAAGAATTAAGAATTAAGAAAAATTATTATTATTTATTAGGAATTAAGAATTAAGAATAATTATTATTATTTATTAAGAATTAAGAATAATTATTATTATTTATTAAGAATTAAGAATTAAGAATAATTATTATTATTTATTAAGAATTAAGAATAATTATTATTATTTATTAAGAATTAAGAATAATTATTATTATTTCATTTGTTAGATTTATACAGATATAATTGTATAAACTTTTCTAATTAATCAAATAATAATATAGTAGTTAATAGTATTATAAGAGTACATTAATAATATATTCAATATTTATAACAATGTTCGATAATACTTATAACAATATCAATTTTGAGTTTATTTTGTAACAATTTTTTGCACATCTTTACCATAAAATAATTTTTTAAAATTAGAATTAAAAATAAATGAGTTTCAGCCAGGGCCGGCGCAATTAGGGGTCACGTGGGGGGGGGGGGGGGTGCCATTAAAACTTTTGCCGTTTAAAAAAAAAAAAAAAAAAAGGTCCTCGTTTTTTAAAATTTACCGACTGCCATAACGACATTTGCCGACTAACCTATCGACAGGGTCTACATTTGCCGACTAACTAGTCAAAAAGATTCACATTTGCCGACTTAGGATCAAATTTGCCGACTAAAAGTTATTGATGGGGGGGGGGGGGTTGGGGGTGTTACACCCCCCCCCACACACACACACACACACCCCTATCGTGCCGGCCTTGGTTTCAGCGTCAGTGATATTTGCTACAAAGTTGAGATTTCAAATGAATAATTAAACGCTATATAATGTTTAATCGTTCATCACATTGTTCAAATATTTTTATATCAAATAGTTCTGTAATCATCTTTTAGACTTTTTTAAATCTTGTCTTGAAAGAAATACAGTATTTCTTCTAAAAGTTTTAAAAATAGATAATACAACAAAATTATAATCAAAAAGATAATTTAAAATTAACTAAATTAACTTAAATTAAATTAATAGTTAAACGAGAAAGTGTTAAAAAGGGCCGAGGACACTGGGGGGGGGGGCAGGGAGCAAACCTTCCATAAGTTTAAAAAAACATTGCTAAATGATTTTTCATATATCATTTGTTTGTTCGTTACTTCTGTTAAAATTTAACTCGAATTTAATGCAACGCGGTCTAAAGGGGCACGTTGATACACTTAGGGCAAATTGATACACTGTATTATCTTACCCCTTTCGTAAAGCATTTGAATATGGTCAAAAATATTTTTGTTTATGTGTTTGCATTAATGCAATTAAATTGTTTGGTGTAGACTAATGTTTTTTTTTCTCGTAGAGATAGTAAATAGGTAAATAGGCTAATAAAACATATGTTTTTTGTCTTTTGTATTTGTTTACTTGATCTTTTGTTATTGTTTACCTGTTTACTTAATCTTTTATGTTTTTAAATGTATCAACTTGTCCCATTGTGTGTATCAATTTGCCCCAGCATGGGACAGATTGATACATAAATCTTTACCTTACTTTTTGTGCTGTATTTATTTTAATTATGTTCTAATCAATAAAATTGTGGTACTAAAATATGCAGGATACTTAGTGGCAAGGTCGGCGCGATATGGGGGTGCGGGGGAGGGGGGTGACACTCCTCCCCCTCCTCCTCCTCCATCAGTGATTTTTAGTCGGCAAATTTGACCCTTTTTGACTAGTAAGTTGGCAAATGTCGACCCTTTCAATATAGGTTAGTCGGTTTTTACATAGTTAGTTGGCAAATGTCGTCATGGTAGTCGGCAAATTTTCGAAAACGAGGACCTTTTATTTATTTATTTATTTTTTTTTCTGTTTACACCAGGATTTGTATAGTCATTTTCGAAACTCTTATGCCAGTTTTACATAACTTTGTCATAAACTAATTTTGTTATAGATATATTTAAACTGCAAAGATCCCCATCAAAAAAATATATTGTGTGTTCGAGCTAGATCTGTAGACCTGTAGACCAGTAGATTTGCAGATCTGTAGATCCAGTAGAAATCTCTATTCTTCTCATAAAGTTTCATCTTTAAAAAGAATTTTTGATAAATTTTCCTACAACCTATAAAGATTCAATAGAATTTATGGTTTTAAATGACATAAATGTTATATTAGCACTATTGGCTAATTCGTATTGGAATCTTGTTAATGCAAGAGGAACCGTATCATTGTTATACTATGTAAATCCTATCAGAATCTTATAAAGCAAAAAAATTAAATAAATAAAAAAATATGTATATCTTGTTGTCCGAAAAAGACTTACTAATGCAGTGTTTTTGTCCTACGAGCTGTTTCATTTTCATATAGAAATTTTTTATACTTTTACACTTGACATACTAGTCACAAGATTTTGGATAGTTTCTATAGATATTTTATTCCAAACTTCTCGAATACGAGTTTTCAGCTCCAATGTGGATTCAAATTGCTTTCCATTTTCATAAACCTTTCTAGATAGTATTCCCCATAGATATTCAATTAGATTTAGATCTGGATTGCATGCAGACCATTCCATTGCGTAAATATTTTTTTCTTTAAAACAAGCTTTTGCAAAACTTGAAATATTGATAACAGCATTGTCTTGTTTAAAAATGAAATTTTCACCATCAATTCTTCATCACGTTCAAGAAAACTATTTTCTAATAAATCAATGTAGTTCTGTTAATTCATTTTTGTTGAAATTGGAAGTTTTCCAGTGGAAGTGGAAGTTTTCCAGCAAAGGAAAACGCCCCCAAACCATAACATTTTTAATACCAAAGTTACGACTCATCTGAGTTTCTCCCTCGTTTTAAAGATCGTGTCAATAATATTGATAGCTATCAGGACCGTCTAGATTGAACTTTTTTTCATTACCTAAGAGAACTTAATGCTACTCTTCCTGCCATGACATGTGTTCTTTTGTAATCTAGCTTCTTTATGACGAATAGTAAATTTTTACTTATGATTTACGCTTTTTCCAAACTGTGTTTGGATCTTCATGTAAGATTTGTCTCACCCTTTGAACAGTTACAGGTAATTGTAAATCGGCAGGAATTCGGGATGCAGTCATGTGCTGAGCAGCAGTAGGATGTACAATAGCTCGTTTAGTACAATTAATAATTTTACGTTTTCTATCACTTCCCTTATAAGCTCCATAATTAAAGCCTATCTTGAAGTAATTATTAAACACTTCAGGAAATCTTTTAATTTTCTTTGCAATTTACCGGTTAGATAAGCCTGTACTTTTGTGTGCTTTGGTTACAGCTATTTCTAGATTGGTTAAACACTTACCACGTCCCATTTCAAATTAACGTATCAAAAACCAAATGTTAAAAATTTTATGAGCATTGATTTCACAGTCTTTGTTTAACTTATAAATAATAATAAAAAAAAAGTCACAAATGCGTATCACCATATCAAAATATAAAAGTAAACAGAAAATAATTATTGATAAAAATTCTTTTTGTTACAGCAAATATCAAGTATTATACATTTTTTGGTTTTTTCAAATAAACCTCAATTTAATTATGCTATATTAAATTCTAAAAACTTGTTGCTTGTAACAATAATTATATATGTGTGGATACAAAGTATGTATTGCACAAATTTGCTTACAGGTTTTCAAAGTATTGGGTTAAAACATGGTGAGGCTAATTCTATTTTCTCTATTGTATTAAATAAAATTATATATGACTTATAAAAATTCCGAAATAGATATAATATTGTCAAGTATTGTTAAGCAGTCGTGACGCAGTTGTTAAAGTTCTGACTTAGAACCAAGAGATTCGTGGTTCAACGCCGACTTTAGCCAAGTAAGTGACATTTGTAAGAAAGTAGGCATGAAATTTCTGGTTAAATGTTTCTCTAAGTTACTCCATGATAAGACCAATAGATCTTCTTAACAACTAAAATAAAAATATTTTTAAATCTAATATTAGTTGATTTCTTTAGAAGTCCTATAGATTATATAAAAATTCAATAATTCTTTTGGGAGTACAGTATTAATTCTTTTGCAAGTCTATAGTCATACGGCACATTTCTTTAGAATCCTATAAGACTTTTGGATTAGGGTATAGCAATCCCTATTGGCCCTATAAGAATCCTATAGAACCTATAGGATTCCTTAAAGATTGATATAAGATTACAATAAAAATTTTATTGATCTATAAAAATCTTTTAAAACCTATAGGAAACATATAATAATCCTAGAACAATCCTATTGAGCCTATAGAAATCCTGTAAGATTTATAGGATTCTTTTAGGATCCTATAAGACTTTTTGACTAGGAGTCATTTTATACATTTATTTTAAGTCTTGGAACAATAAAGCTGTAATTTGAAAACTTTTTAGGGCATTTAGGAGAAATTTCACTAAAGTAAGAATGAGTTAAGTTAGGAAATAATGTTTTGATATAAATATGAACAGCAAAACTTGGTGTATTGATTTGAAAACTGGGTATGTTACTATTTAGACTTTAAGACCAATATACAAATTCTTCTTTTATCTCGGCCATTAGCTTGAGCTCAAAGAATTTCCGATAATATTTATAAATATACAACAACGCTTATTTAAGTCTTGACTTTTTTACCAATGAGATCAAACAAGATTTTTTTAAAAATTTTAAAATTTCACGGCTTTTTAAATTGTTATGACTTATTAACAACAAAATAAATTTAGATTGTATTTACATAAAATACCTCAAGATATCTCTATAATATTTTTCTTTAGGAGATCATGGTCATACCACATTATCATATAAGAAGGTAATTTACTTAGACAAATATATCAACCTTGATGATGCATTAAGTATTAGTGGAACAACTTTTGTTTATATATTTGCTAAGACCGGCTACTTAAATCATATATACAATGGTTTGAAAGCTGGTCAAGATCATTTTAAAGTCTTTCTTAAAAAAAATATACCCGAAGAGTTGCATTTAAAAAACAGCGATAGAGCTCCAGATATATTAGTAATAAGTAGCCCTGGATGGACTATTTTGAAAAGTAAAAACTCAAAAGAATGGTTTCAGGAAACTAACGATTACTGGAAAATAGGAGACCATGGGTACGAGCCGGAATTTAAAAGTATGAACACAGTTTTTTATGCATTTGGACCCGCTTTTAAGAAAAACTATAAAAGTCAGTCAATTCGTATAATTGACTTATATTCACTTATGTGCAAAGTTCTGAAAATTCCGCCAAGAAAAAATGATGGCAACGAAACCATGGTTATTCAATTTCTCAACAAAAATATTTAAAGTATTCATATATATATATATATATATATATATATATATATATATATATATATATATATATATATATATATATATATATATATATATATATTATATATATATATATATATATATATATATATATATATATATATATATATATATATATATATATATATATATATATATATATATATATATATATATATATATATATATATATATATATATATATATATATATATATATATAATTAGTAAAACATATCAAATATTTTTTTTTATTAATATTTAGATTAAAATTATTTTTAATAAACAATTTTTAAAATCTTTAAATCCAATGATACAACTCAGCAAACATTGTTTTAGTGGATTTGCAGTGGAACTATATAGACATTTTTAGCGGCTCATTGGAGTTTTGCTTATTGGTTACTTAGTGGACCATTAGTGATTATAGACGTGGTAATAGTGAATAGTTATTGACTAACCATTTTTGGCGGCTTTCACTAATGATTTACTAAGTAACCGATGAGCAAAACTTCAGTGGTTCGCTCAAAATGCCTATATAGGTCTGAAATTCCGCTATAAAATGTTTACTGGGAATAAAAAAAAATCAAAATATTTCTAAAAATTTTTTTGGTTTCACCAAAAAATAGTTCTATCGATAAAAATTTTTTTTTATGTAATTAAAATTAAGATGTCATATACAACCAAAACCAATAGTTAATAAACTTGTCCGCTAAATAACTTGATTGGAAAATGTACTGTTATTAATTCTAAAACAAGAGTTAACTGTAAAATAAAATACTAATGGTTATTGGCTATTAAAGTTAGTAATGGCAATACAGTCACATTAATGAAAGATAGATGGAAACTTGAAAAAATTTATGACTTGTTTATAAAGCAATCGTAAAATACTGTTTTGTTTCGAGATTAATTATGAAGAAAAGTGTGACATTTTATGAAAAGAAAAGTTCACATTTTAAGTACTTAACGCGGTAGTGGTGAAGTGGTATAACGCTTGCTTCATAAGTAAGAGGTTCCGAGTTTGATCCCCACCCGTCCCTGGTTGTACCGCGCTCAACTTGTTTCTTGGCGCTGCGGTCCGTCAGCGCCAAGAAACAAGTTAAGCGCGGTAATCAAGGTCCGTGTTTCGGAGTTATAGAGTTGAGAGCGGGTAATAACCACAATTAAGTAGTCTCCTTTCCTGTAGTTGCTTTCTCAGTCTTGGGGAGGTAAATTAAAATAAAAATAAAAAAATAAAAAACTTGTGAAAAAAAAAATTAGTTATCAAAGGGAAAAAAGAACCTAAATTATTAAAGGGAAAAAAGAACCTAAATAAAGGGAAAAAAGAACCTAAATTATATTAAAAAAAGAAAATAAGCTTTCACAAATAAAAAAAATAAAAAACAGACCAGGAGATTATAAGTCTAAAAAACGGTTTTTTCTTTCATAGTAAATAGAGTAAAGCGAGCTTAAGAAAAAGATGAGTAGACTTAAAAATGGAAAGAGTTGACCTGAAAAAAATGGAAAGAATTGACCTAAAAATAGAATTGATCTAAAAATGGAAAGATCTAAAAACTTTAAAATGAATAATAGTTTAAGTTGTATTTTTTTAAATGTAGAAAAGATGACATTAAATTCTTTCGAACTGAAAATTCTTAATTCTTCAGAGCCGACGACAACGGGGAAGAAGGCGGTGGGTACACGTGCGCCCCACTTTTTTTTTAAAGTATCTTTTTTTTTTTTTTAATAAAATTCTAAATATAGTAGACTTTTTTTTAAAGTTGATGATTGTGCCAAATATAAAACAAGGTATCTGAAAGAAGTTCAAAGGATCTTGTCGTCAGAACCTTAAATAAGTTCAAACAAGCAAGTTCAAACAAAGGTAACAACAATAATATTAAACTTCTACAAATTTCCAAGTACGTTTGCGGCTATGGCGCATACGTACTTGAAAATTTGCGCATATAATCTTTTTTTTTTTTTTTTTTTTTATTTATTTTGTCAGTAAAAAAAAAAAAGAATACAATGTCGTGTAAAATAAATAAGATCAACATGACCGGGGTTAAAAGAAGACAATACTTGCCTTATCACTACACCCCGACGTGCTTTCATAAGCAAGCGTGTACAACCATTAAAAGTTAAATATATAATTACTTTGTGCCATTTAAAAAAATTATATACAATTATTTACAAGTATGTTAAGACTAGTTACTAATCTATAATCAAAAGAAAATAGTAAAAAGAAATTTAAAAAAAAAATAAAATCAAAACTATAGATAAGCTAATAGGATAGTTTATAGAGTTAATAAGATAATTGTTAAAAATAAAGAAAAAATAAAAATAAAAAATTTTTAAAAAGAATTTAATTCATTAACATCGTTAATAAGTTTTTGTTTCAACTTTTTTTTGAATAGGTAAAAAGAAGAACAATTTTTCAGCTCGTCACTTAATAAAGCGTTCCATAATTTAGGACCTCTTATAGCAATAGAAAATTTGGTAGCTAAATAATGCATTTTAGGTTGCTCATAATTGTACTTAGAAAATCTTGTAGGGTACATGTGATTAATTTTATTGAAAAGAGTACTAAATATTATAGGTGATATTTTATTATGAAGTTTGTACATAAAAATAAGAACTTGATAAAGGTTTAACTGAAAAACATTGAGTATGTGAAGATTATTAAATAGTTCTTTAGTATGTGTGAATCGACCTGCATTTGAAATAATTCTGACAGCATGTTTTTGTTTAATAAGCAGTTTTTTAATTTTACTTATATTAGAGCTGCACCAGGTAATGTTTGCATAGTTTATATAACAATGTATGAGGGAGAAATATAAAATTTTTAGGCAGTTTTGGTTTAAAAACTGCTTGGCTTTGAATAGTATACCAATATTTTTTTGAAACTTTATTTTCTATTGTACTTATGTGTTCTCTCCATGTTAAGTTTTCATCAAGTATCACTCCTAAAAATTTTATTGATGACTCTCTAATTATTTTAGAGTTGCCAATAAAAAGATTAGGAAGTTTTAGTGGAATGTTTTCTTTATCGTGAACTCTATAAAAAAAAGTATACTTAGTTTTATTTAAATTTAAGGACAATTTGTTCGCCTTGAACCATTCCGCTAGATTTAAAAGTTCTTTGTTTACTATTTTAAATAAAAGTTTAATATCTCCATTAGAGTAAAATAAATTCGTGTCATCTGCAAATAAAACAGAGTTTAAAATGTTTGAAAACTTATGAAAATCGTTTACATAAATAAGAAATAAAAGAGGACCCAGAATTGAACCTTGGGGAACACCGCAATTTATTGTCATATAGGAAGATTTTCCTTCTTCGTATAATATGTACTGTTTTCTATTGTTTAGATAACTTATGAACCAATCTAAATATGTGCTTTTAATACCATAACTTTCGAGTTTTTTTATAAGAATATTATGGTCTACTGTATCAAAAGCTTTGCTAAGATCTATAAAAACTCCAAAAGTAAACTTTTTCTTGTCAAATGCTTTAAATATATCATGAACAATATTAATAATGGCATGGTCAGTTGAATTACCTGGCTGAAATCCAAATTGTTTATTATATAAAATATTATTTGTATTTAAAAAATTCAAAGTCCGATTATACATAATTCGCTCTAAGATTTTTGAGAAGCAAGGGAGAATTGAAATTGGTCTGTAATTTTCACAATTAGAAATATCTCCTGATTTAAAAATAGGTATAACCCTTGCAATTTTAAGTTTCTCAGGATAGACACCTTGTTTTAAAGAGAGATTAAAAATATGTAAGAGAGGGATTGTCAAGTATTTTATTGATTTTTTTATAACATTACTACTAATATTATCAACTCCTACACTTTTGTTTTGTTTTAAAAGATTTACTGCATCTATAAGTTCATTTTCAGTAATTTCATAAATATCGATTTTAGAGGTCTTATTAGGAGTAAGATATGTCTCAAAGTTTACTTCAGTGGTTTCTATTTTTGACGCTAGAGTGGAACCTACACTTACAAAATATTGATTAAGTGTTTCGGCAATTAAAGATTTATTCGTAATAACTTTATTATCAATTGTTAGATTTATAGGAAGAATATTTCTGTCAGTTTGTTTTGTACCAATTACTTCCTTAATAATGTTCCAAGTATTGTGCCGATCATATTTATGTTTAATTAATTGCTCGGTATAGTACAACTCAAAAATACGTTTATAATTTTTGTAATTGGTTTCATTGTTGAAAGTTTTTTTTTTGAGAAATTTATTATATAGTCGTTGCTTTTTTTTTGACGACTTAATAATTCCCGGAGTTATCCATGGATTTGATAACGTCTTCTTTTTCACACATTTTGTAATTAATGGAAACGCTGTATTATAAAGTTGTTGTAATTTATCTAGAAACTTATTGTATGCCTTATTTGTGTGTACAATATCAAGGAGGTTATCCCAGTTTAAATCTGCTAGAAGACTATTAAAATTTTCAATGGATTTTTCATCTATTTGTCGTGTAGTTTTTTCAATTTTTTTTGCATAGATATTATCGCATTTTTGTGAGATAAGAAATATAGGAAAGTGGTCTGAAATGTCGCATTTAAATATACCCGTTTTTATTTTTGATTTAAATTCGTTGGTTACTATTTGGTCTATAACAGTTGCGCTTTCTCTAGTTATTCTTGTGGGTTTATTAATTAGTGGAATATAGCCTTTCTGATAAATGACGTTATAGAAATTATTTATTTTTGTATTTGAATGACGCATGTTCATGTCCAGGTTAAAATCACCTACAAAATAAACGCTTTTATTTTTGCTTAACTTATTTTTAATTATGTTTTTGATATATTTTTCGAATTGTTTTATTGAACCGGAAGGTGGTTTGTATAAAACGTGGATGATAATATTTTTTGTGGTTTTATTTATTATTTCCACGCACAGTGATTCACAATCATTAGTGGTTTAACACAAATCTTTTCTTAGTTTGTATACTAAAGTATTGCTTATAAATACACACAAAACCCCTCCTTTCTTCCCAGATTCTC